CCGTATGGCGTTCACCTAAGTAAATGATAGAATGTTGTGTTGTCCTCTCGATCAGCTGCCTTTTGGGTATTAATCATATCTTTGTATACGGATATTGTTTATAAATAGCATCGCTCAAAGGGAACTGTGTATAATCGATCATTCGCAAGTCGAACAATGCTGTATTTTCAGTGCATTCCTTGTCATGGTGGTTGCCACGTAACAGGCGTCACAAATTTAGTCAAGAAATAAAAGAAGAAATCCCGAATTCTACTGAAGAGTATAATAATAAAAAATACTCAAAACAACAGAGGAAATGTGAAGTACATAGCTTTTGACTTTGGTAGTGTAATTATTTGATTCCGAAGAGATGAATGTAAACACTCGACTAGAATGTAAGAAAAATACACTTTATTTAATTACACGTTCAAAATGTATGCCGCCTTCCATCGCGTAATATTCCGGTCTTTTATTTCACATTTCCTCTTCCGTAAATCAAGTAATATGATAATAAAAATATCATGTAATATGTGTTTTGAATTCGTCTCGATGTCCTCTAATCTTATGAATAAAAAAATGTATGTTGCTATTTAAAAAATCCGAGGTGACCTTGACTTTGCCAAGAGAACAAACTGTTTTCAAAATTTGCTTTACTAATATCTATTGTGCACTTCATACCCTGCAAATATTGTTCTAAACTTTTTTTCGTAAGGTGGTTGCCGTTGCAATTGGGAGAAAAATCGTGAGGAGCGTTACAGGTGACACCCTGTATATTTTTTACTATGAAAATGTAATAACATAATGCAATGATTCTAATAGTTTCTTAGAAAATAAATCTCAAGAATTATGTCTTTTTCTTTGCTTATATCAAAGAAGACATATATGCCTCATAAAATTATATTACATAATAACTAACATGTATGTTAGTACGTAAAATTTTCAATTTGTGTAGACATAATGGTACCCATGTAATTTGATTTTCTTTATAAGGATACTATGTAAAACTACATATATCGAATATTGTGTAACATATATTGTTTTATTCATTCCAACCTCCAGTTGTACACTTCTTACTCGAATAACAATAAGTACATAGGTCGCCGACTCTACAAATAGATCCTTGGCGTTTACAAGAAAGTATAATGCCAGGAGCAAGTTGACGAAGCGAATCAAAAATTTCTGAACTCCTGTTTTGCCAGTTTAGGTGACCAATTCTTTATTTTGTTATTTAGAAATGAAATGGTAAACTGGTTCAGCACGAATTGTGTCAAATGTGTAGAGAACACCGTACACTTGAGATTTTGTTGTGTGCAAAATTCAAGATTTGAGATTTTTTAAAGTAGTTTAGTAGATATTATTTGAAACTTTCTATATGTTTAGAAGCTGAAATTTTCGTGTTACCAAAGTCCGAAACTTTCAGTTATGAAGGTTTTACAATTTAATATCTTCAAATTTGTTAATTTTCAAATTTCAAAATTTCCCAATTTCTCAATTTTTCAACTCCTTAATTTTCCAATTTCCCAATTTCCCAATTTCCCAATTTCTCAATTTTCCAATTTCCTGATTTCTCAATTTCTCAATTTTCCAACTCCTTAATTTTCCAATTTCCCAATTTCCCAATTTTCCAATTTCCCAATTTCCTAATTTCTCAATTTTCCAATTTCTCAATTTCTCAATTTCTCAATTTCTCAATTTCTCAATTTCTCAATTTTCCAATTTCTCAATTTCTCAATTTCTCAATTTCCCAATTTCATAATTTCCAAATTTCCAAATTTCCAAATTTCCAAATTTCCAAATTACTAAATCCCCAAGTTCGGAAATTCCAGCTCCACTCTAGTTCAAACAAACATTATATATATCCAACAGTAAATTTACCTGCGTAAACAATTTCTCATGGAAATAAACTTGTTAAAGTCGATAGTTATATATACGAGCAACATAAACAATAAACAAGACGAGTTCAGCATAAAATTACAGTTAGAAAAATATTGTTAAATGCCAGTATTAATTTCCGCGTATATAAACAATTGTATGAGAACGATCAACGTCGGATAATCGTCGGATTATGCAATCCGCTCCGCTCGTTGTTTTTCGCGGTCTGGGCGATCGTATTTCATTAGAAATGTTTCGGCGAGTACATATATATTTCAAAACTTTGCGACAAGCATTGTTGGAAATCTATCCTAGGATGTTTTTAATTTTCACTTCGTAATCGTCAAATTTCTTGTCGCATACTCGGTGAAATGTATTTACGCCGACCTATTTTAATAAAGTGAATGTAGCAGTTCGGAAGCCGGAACTAATCTGTGTGTACCAGTTGATAGACTGTTTTACCTTAGGTATTCACTATTTTTCTTTCGGTTTTTAACTGCATTTCGAAATATTGTGAACTTCGAACTTCGTATTTTTAAATTCGTCACGGTTGTCGAAAATGTCGGGAATGCGAATAAAATTTTGCATGTTAAATTGCATTGTGTTTTGCACATTAAATCTATTTTTAACGAAATGTACTTGCTGTTTGGTCTTGAATATAATTTTTGTTAAATATGGTAGTCGTAAATTAAATAGTAAATTTTTTTGTGAAAAATGGCAGATATATTTTTAATTTGAACTGTATTTTAAATTTGTTAAAAAATACGAACAGTTAATAAATTGTAAAGACATTGAATTCATTCAATTATTTATATTTTTCATATTGTTCACGCACATCAAATATAAGAATATTTGTGTAATTACGTATGCTTTCAACCTATGCAATTAAGCTGAATTATTTCATTTCATTTTGAAAGTCAACAATTATGTGGAAAGCTACATGCATGAGATGATATTATGTCGTACATTCATCAACTATTCCTTGACATTCAATTAAAGTAATTCCTCGTTTAAGTGACTTTGTATTCAATATTAAGTACATAATTTTCTCGTTTACGGACCTTATTATTTTAAACAAACTTTGGTACAAAATCGTTCTACGTTTACTTGCAAAAAAAAAGAATTAATTTTGCATTTCACTAATTATATTTTTTAAAAATATATTGTATTTTAATTACATTAGAAAAATGTTATATTAGTTACATTAAAAAAATATAATTTGTATTCTCGCTTTTATTATACTCTTTCAATTCAGTCATCTTTGTCTGTAAATAAACAAAGAAAGAGAAAGAGAAAGAAAAGATAAATGGAAAATAGATGAAGAGAAAGTATTGGCAGAGGATATAAACAAGAAAGCTGTCCACAAAATTTCATGCCAAAAATGAAACATGCAATTTTACAAAAATCTATGTACATCTATTTTATATATTTTCGCTATGATATTTTAGAAACTTTAACGATTACTCACTGATTATAAAAAGTGTGAGTTCTTAGATAACAGATAATTTACAAATGATATCATTTTATCCAGAACACAGTTGAAAGCCATAAACTGTGATCGGTGGTTCAAAAAGGATGCTGTATTTCCTTGATACATCAGTGCATTTTGTATTATTGAGTAATCGTTTCAGAGAAAGTATATACAGGAAAGAAAAGTTATTTGTTATGACTTTCACGAATGATTCTACGTATTTGAATTGACGAGATCCATAAAAACAAATGAATTGGTACACCCTTATGAGAAAGCAAAAAGACTAATTTTGAATAGTAATATTATATCTTACTATCAGGTATCAAATTGGAAGATTGAATAACATGTTTTAGACAATAATTTGGTAATGTGATACAACCAATTTTATTTATATTTAATATAATACGTGACTGTTTGAATACTTTCTCTAGGTTTAGATTTACGATCTGGGTTTTTCTTATGTTGTACTTTTCATCGTTTTCTTGAGCAAGTTTTCCTTAGGTTTCAATTTTTCTTAGATCTTAGTTTTTCATGGAATTCTTGGTTTTATATAGGTCTGCATTTTCCTAGGTTTAGTTTTTTACACTGACGTTTCCCTTTGGTGATTTTCTCTAAATCCTGTGTTTTTCTAGATCCACGTATGTAGGTCTACGTTTCTCTATTTGTAGACTTTCCTCGGATAGTTTTCTTAGATTTAGGTTTTATTTAACTTCCAAAAACAAAAGCACAATGACTGAAAATTGATATTCAAGTCACTTAAGTCGACATTTGAATTATTTTCACTGTTCATTGTTTTCACTGTTTTTAAATTATTTCACACTAAAAGGATTACATTTCAAAAGGAGAATTAGACTGTGGAGGGTGATATCCTTGATAACGTTTCCAAATTTCTTAGTGACCTCTCTTTTTTTAAATACAACTATACCTTTTCTCTATAGGTTAATTTTCTACATAACAAATATTTTGTATAAAGGGGTATTAACATACAATTGTCAAACAAATAAAAAATTCAAGAGATATTATAAATTTAAGAAGTTAAGTGTTTCATATGGATATATAAATAAACAATGATTAAAATATTTCTCTAAATTACTCTATATTATACTATATTATTTGTAGTGATAATTTACCTATATATTTATTTAGCTAAACACATATAAACAGATTTCTTTTTGCATGCAAATAGTAATGATACCCTATGTTATAAAGTTACACAGCAATAAATAATAGTTCAATAAATAGAAGTGCCTATAAATTATAAACATTCCTCTTATAAAAATCCATGAGAAATTCGTACATTTCACCCTCTCCAATCCATTGAAAGAAACAATTAATAACAATTCCATTAAATCAGTCACAACATCATACGACCTTTAAATATAACAGATACCTAAAAATACTTTCGTGTCTTTAAAACTGAAAGTGAACGGTACGTGTACCTCCACATGAAATTACCCAGGACATTGACCTTTATTCTATAACACATGTCAAGATCATCGAGATCCATAAAGTGTATTCTATCATTAATTACCGTCGAACGGACTATAAATTATTTTTTGCAAAACGATACGTAAAGTCGTCGTAAGATCGACACGCATAAATTTGATTGGCACAATACAATTAGGAGTGCGAAGTTGTAATCGTCATCATCGGGGATAATGGGGATCGTAAAATCGAAATGTATATTAATGTCTTTGTTTCCTGCGCTTCGTGTATCCACGATGGTCTACACTTAGAAACAGTTCGCCGTGGAAAAGTGGTTAACAACCCCACCTGAACTGCCGGGCGCGGCCTTTCCCCTTCATCTATAAAGCCACTTGGAAACCATTTCCACCGAACATTCACTCAGCGCTTCGTCACTCATTTGTTCACCATGTGGCTGCTTATCCTCGCAGGTGAGTGTGCTCCGTTACTTTTTTTTTTTAACGAGGAAGTGCATTTTGGTGTTTATCTGTGTTAATGCGTTGATTGGAACAGTGAAGATGGACGTGCAGACATGTTGAAACACTTATTTGACATTCTAATAAGTGTATGACCCTTCAGAGTTTACTCCTTAATAAAATTTTAAATTATCCTGAAAATTTTATTTCAGGAGATTATGTAATAATATTGCGTTAGGTCATTTTGCAATTTTACATTTAATGAAATGGAAAATTATTCGTATTGGTTTAAAATTGATGTATAAGGAAGTCGAGAATTCTTGAAAAGTTTATTTGGGTATTAGTTTAGTTATTTTGGATATTTTGCAATTTTTTAATAAAATTATTAGGTGTTTTAACTGCATTCGACAAAGTTAAGAATTCTTAGAACTTTGATTTTTGGAAATAATTGGATAATATTATTAATATTTAAAATTTAGTTATGACAACGTTAGATATTATTAATATTTTCCCTGAGGAAAATTTGTTTTAGTAAATTATTAATTAAATATTATATTGGACCTCATTTTGCAATTTATGACACTTGCAATTTTAATAAAATTAAGATTTGTTAATGCTTATAAATAATTCTTATAAGCTTGCTTATAATTCTTGTAAATTTAGTAGATCATTAATAAAATTTTTTTGAGGGTTTTATGTACCTTGTAGAATTTCAAAATCATAATGTGATATAGCAGATAAAAAGAAAGGGGCGAATAAAGGTATAAACAAGTACAGATAGAACTAATTCATATTCAAATTTTAGTTTTGTATTTATCCCCTTAATCACCACACTAATAGTAATATTTACAATTTTTCCTCTTTTGTCAAACTGCTTATTTATTAACATTTACACATCATTTTTGCAAATTTATTCCGCAAGAAATTATTAACGCGTCAGTCGCCATTTTGGTCATCGGTGACTCCCCATTACCATTTTAATCTAATCAAATAATTCAGAAACAAGAGCAGTCTTTCCGAATATTAATAAAATTATATTAAAGAATTATAATTAAAAAGATAATCCTTTAAATTTTTAAAATAAGTTTTTAAAGTAATTAATAATTTCTTTTGTTACGTGTCTGATAAAATAAAGATATTTCCACTATCACGGTCAATGTGTTAATAGAATTAAAATTAAAGTTGAAGGTACGAATAAATAACTTTAGTCGACAAACGTGGAAATGTGGTTCATACTTTTTTTATTCTTTCTGGTGTTGACACCTTGATTGCCATAGTGAAAATAGTCGTGTGTGGTAAGACACATTGAAAGTCTAATTATTTACACTTTGAAGGCCGCATTTTGCAATCTGACTCTTGCAATTTTATCCTGACAGGAAATTCACTTTTCAGAGTTCCATTTATTGTTTAAAATTATTGATTTTTAAAAATTAACAAAAGAAATTATTAAGTTTTAAATAAATTTTATTTCATAAAGAAGGGATATGATGCTGAAGGTTGGGGAATAATTGAACAAGTTATAAGTCTGTTTCAAAGGAAGAAATAGGTACATGCTATAGGATCGACATATATGTTTTACTGACACAGATATGTTAGATGACATAGAAGATGAAGTATATACATTATTGCAACACCTTTGTTCTTATTTACGAGTGTGGGAAATGTTTAGTTTGATACAGTTTGCAATCTATCATCAAGTAATGTTCGCAGTTGAACCTTTCAAGATGACCTTCGAATTTTTTACTGTTTTGAAACATTCAATTGCTTTTGTTAAAACATATATCACTTTGCATTCTTTTATTTTTATAACTTTTTCAACTATTATTGACTTTTCATATCTTTAGTATTAAATATCTGGAAACAATTATAGTAATTATCATATTAATTTATGTTAATATTTGAAACATTAAGGCACAAATTTTGCAGACATACAAATTATTATTATTTAACACTGATTCTGAGAACAATAGTTTTTAGAAAAGAACAATAATTCTTTTACGTTTACAATATTACTTTTTTAATAAAAATATTGAGCTATTAAGAAATTAATTTTACAGACGTATTGCAAAAGTTGTTATTGTTTGATATTTGTGTAAATAATTTTAGATTTTCATATTAGCATAAACTAAAAATATTATTGAATATAACATTACTTTATAAAAACAATTCTTTATACAAAGATTGTTATTAATTATTAAGTTAGGCGATTTAAAATTGTTCATTTACATGAACATAAAAAATTAAGGATAAGAACCACCAATTATTAAACTTAAGCTTTTCTTTATTTACACAAATGTAGAATTATTGTTGTGGTAAGAACAGTTCATGGAATAATGTCAAGACGTTGTGTTCTCAAACATTAAGAACAGCCAACAGGACTTTCCTTGATTCGTCAGATAAACTGGTGCGTACGGGCATTGCATTCGCATTAGAAACTTACTTTCTGGACAACTTGCTTCACTTTCGCGTGTCAGTTTATACAAATATATAGGGTGTCCGTGCAACTATCACCATAACTGCAAAACTTCCTATTCCGTTTTGCAGAAAATCAAACGAATTTTTAGAAAATTCATAAATACGCTTTGTTCTGTTACACATATAAACTTTGTTATATGTGTAAACTTTTTTCTGTTTATACATATACTGTTTTCTGTTTTTTTCTTAAAATTAAACAATAAAACATACAACTACTGTTTTCTGCTTTTTCTTAAAATTAAACAATGAAACATATAACTACTGTTTTCTATTTTTTTTTAAATAAAATACCAAACCTAACTTCAAATCTGTTTTACGTGTAACTGAAACACTGTAACAAGACAAAGAAAACAATAAAATAAAAATAATAATTATTCAATCATATAATGATCATAAATCTTTTAATATAATTTAATTTAAAACAAACACGATGTAATGAAATTAAAGTATTATGAAAACAATATAGTTTACAAAGTGAATCAGTTTGAACCACATTTGATTATTGTATTTTAATTTCCAACCTTGACTTTAATTTCATCTAAAGAATGTTACAATTGTAAGTACCTTAGATTATCGGAATTCTGATATTGTATCATGGTAATAACGATTACTGAATAATTGTATTTGCTGCAGTTTTATCAAGAACGGACACGCTTTCTCTGCTTATCGTAACGTAATAATCACACTTGACATTAGTGAAATCTGTTATGGGAATAATCTGAAAGAGAAGATGATATTGTTACGCGTGTGAACCTAATTAGTGAATAATGATCTTCAGCGTGTGTGAAAAATACCAGCTTCGAATCTTCTCAGGCGTGTCATGTAAATTCTATTAAAATCTCTTTCTCTTATCTAATTTTGTTGGGACTGAAGATGTAAAGAATACCATTTTTATAACACATCTGGTTATTAATAATAGACAATGCATATTATGATCATGTGTGTATATGTTCTTGCTAGTGAAACGGAAGAGAAATCACAAAAAGAAAAAGAAAGTCACAGGAAGAATAAAAAACGAGAAAGAACAATCACTTTTTGAAATGTTATTTCATGTTTTTATTATTTCATCATTTTGTATATTTCTTCGCATTTGTTAAATTTTATTTATTTGTACCTTTTATCTATTATTTATTTTTTATCTTTTATATACTAGTGATAATAAATTTTATATTTTGAGGATATATGTAAAAATATAATAAAGTACTAACATATAGCACACATAACACACTCATATAATTGACTAACATGAGTATCTTACTTAAAAATGTATAAATATATAAATATTCAATTAAATTAACTTACTAAACATAAACGTCCTCGTTATTACATGGTAATAAGGTTTAAAGGTTAAAATACGTAAGCTTCTAAATGAAAAAAGCTATTGAATTTCATGCAAATAAAGACGAAACCGTTACGATGTTTTTACTTTCACATTTTATTTTATTTCTTGCTTTGAATAGCTGATAGTGGTCAATTGTGAATAGAATTACGCTTAATGGTACATTGACTAGGACGAAAAAAGTAGACATTGATGTATCACTTTCTAGTTTCCTGGAATTCGTGAATAAAATATATGATAAGGACACATAAAAGTAATAATTCTATAAGATTACAAAACAATTCTTATATTGCTATATTTTTTGTACAGTAATATAAATAATTCAATTTATTATCAATTATTTTATATTATTTTGTATTAAATTTTATTTTCTACAGTTATTATTACGCGAGGATTGTTACGTGTTGGATTATTACGCGTTGGTTAACTACGCGTTAGATTACTGCGCATTAGATTCCTACGCTTAGAATTACTACGCTTTGCATTACTATGCGTTGGACTGCTACGCGTTGAATATCCACACTCTGAATTACTACGCGTTGGATATTCACACGCTGGATTACTACGCGTTGGATATCCACACGTTGTATTACTACGCGTAGGATTACCACACGTTGCATTACTACGCGTTGGATAGCTACGCGTTAGATTACTATGCATTAGGTTCCTACGCTTAAAATTACTACGCATTGAATATCCACGCTCTGGATTACTACGCGTTGGATATCCACACGTTGTATTACTACGCGTAGGATTACCACACGTTGCATTACTACGCGTTGGATAGCTACGCGTTAGATTACTATGCATTAGGTTCCTACGCTTAAAATTACTACGCGTTGAATATCTACGCTCTGGATTACTACGCATTGAATATCTACGCTCTGGATTACTACGCGTTGGATCACCACGCGTAGGATTACTATGCGTTGGATTACCACGCGTTGGATTACCACGCGTTGGATTATCATGCGTTGGATTACCAAGCATTGGATAGCTACGCGTTAGATTACTATGCATTAGGTTCCTACGCTTAAAATTACTACGCATTGAATATCCACGCTCTGGATTACTACGCGTTGGATATCCACACGTTGTATTACTACGCGTAGGATTACCACGCGTAGGATTACTACGCGTTGGATTACCAAGCGTTGGATAGCTACGCGTTAGATTACTATGCATTAGGTTCCTACGCTTA